CTAAGAATAGATAATAAGATTATAATAATTATAGTAATTCTAATTATAATATTTACTATAATTATATTATTTATATCTAGTATATATATATATTTACTTTATTAGTTAGAATACTCTTTTAGATAGTTATTAATAATATTATCTATATATCTATTATTACTAGCTCTATAATACTTATATATTAATAGTAACTTATATTATATAGCCTATAATAATCTAATTATACTACTTAGAATAATACTTTAATTAGTTTAACCCTAACTTACCCTAGACTAGGTCTAGTATAAGTTATCTAACTATTATAGTATAACTTTTATTATTAATAACTCTAGCTAATTTTAAAATACTATATCTAACTAGGCTTATATATATTAAATAGATTAGTAATATCTTTAAGCTTAGAACTTAAGCTCCTTATAAAATATAGTAAGTATATTATTAAATACCTTCTAATAAGAAGATTAAGCTAAGTAGCTAGTTAGAGCTATTATAAGATACTAAGTATAAGATCCTTATAGACTTTAATATAATAATAATCTTATAATAATATAATATATAGAAGGAAAAGAAAGAGAAGGAAGAGTTAGATAATTAGAATATAATAAATAAGTAATTATAATTATAAGAAATATAAGAAGAGATTATATATATTCTTACTACTTTAGAATTTATAGATTAAATATACTATAATTAAAAGAAAATAGCTATAATAACCCTCTTATAATAGCTTTATTAAAAAAAGCTATATCTTTTAATATTACTATTAACTTAATTTATCTATAGATATATATTATTAATTACCCTAGTAAGGAAATTTAAATTTATTAAGTAATTAGCTAAGAAAAAGTAATATTAGCTACTAAGTCCTTATTAGCTATAGTTATAATAGGGGTAGGGTGGTTAATTTGATAAAAAGAGGTGGCTGGTTAGCACCCTCCCAAATGTGCGTGCTGGGCGCCCATGTGGAGGCACGTTGCCAGGCTGGTGCTAGCCTAAAATGGTAGTCAGACTTCCTAATTTGGAAGAAAGCTGTGCGCGCCAGTACGTACCTTAGACTAGAACTACTGCAGTCAATAGAACAGCGAAAGAAGAGATTAAAAAGCGGTATTACATATCACAGATTGAACACAGACCTCGGGATACAATTATACACATCTACAAGACTACCACGGCATCCAACCTGGAAGGCGTATTGAGAATGGTGCATGAGGAAGGAAGGCATACACCAGCAGTCAGCATATGGATTTCTCCTTTGGGATATTTGGCACCTGGACCGTGCGTTTGTGGTGCCTTGGGGGAACCCGGAAATCTAGTATTTCTACTACTGTCATCACAATGGACCCAAGTAGGGATACCTTCTGAGATTAGAAGATGGCAATCAGTGCATGGGAAGATACTGTCAGTGCCAAGGTGCAAGCCTGCTATGGTGCCGATCCCACACCAAACCCGCCTCGTGCGATCTCGGTACCGAACTGCGAGACTCACACGAGCCTTGCTCACACTAAGGTACCAACTAGACAAGCCAGAGTAGTGGCGTGAACGGGCTAGGGGACGTTAGAGATATTGCTTAATATGTAGGCTTAGCTCGCTAAGGTATGGAAATTTATTCATCACGATTTCATGTAGTGAGAGACAATTGATGTCAGCCAGATCCGATAAGGTACTTCGATTCTTCAAGCCGCAACACTAAACTACCCGCCTAATCCGTCTTGATTCCATATAACGACTCCTTAATGTGCCCGAGATGGGGGAACATTCCGCATCTGGTTGAACGATCGCTCCAATATGGCTTTGTTGACGTCCAGCCCGACGTCCAGGTAGTGCTCAAAGGTCCCCACCTGAAACCACGACCACATGCCCGTCAGATCAATGCTGCCTCCAAAGTCTGACACCACCATCCAGCACCGGATGTGAGTTCCCACAATGGTGCATGCGTAGGCGCGCTTGTAGGTCGGGTTTGCTCGGAGGAGCTCCCTGCAGTGGCTCAGAGCTTGCTGCTCGAGGTAGGCGACCCGGTCCGCGGCAACATTGGTGGGCTTCTTAGCATCGACGAAACATAGGACTTCAAAGTTCATGTTGGCGGTGCACCGCTCGACAACCAAGTCGCTGGATGACATCGGCCCGGGGACGACGGCGTACTCATTCCCAGGGAAAATGTATTTGGCCAGGAGCTGTGCGAAAAGCCGAATACTCTTGTCCTCTGTTGCTTGGGTAGTGTTGCCATGGGGATCGACGAGGGCTTTAGCTTCTTGGTAGTAATACTCCAGTTGTGGAGTACGGATCAGGCCGTGTGGCTTCCATGTAGACGAGTTCATGATGATGCTGATCGTGGTCGTCGAGTGGATGGGTCAAAACTTGGAAGGAAAACAGCGGCTGCGTTCAGTAGCGTAAGAGGTGAACTTAGGGTGACGTTTTCTTTTTCGAAGTGGTTGTTAGTACCGCCGCCACCTTCATTCTCCAACCGAAGATACCTACCTACAGAGGCGGTGATATTCTGGCCTGTTGTCCGTTGCCAGTGCCAGGGCGTGGGCGTGACTGCCCAGATCCCAAAGGGATTTGCAAGACCAATGTGGGAGGGTGTTTTCTCGTACTCGCAGCTTGTGATGTCGACGTCTACCCTTGCGGTCATACGTTCGCGTGATTCCGCCGCTTCCATCTATATCGCCCAGTCGAGTCATCTTTCTTTGATTCCTCGCGGTAGCACCTTTAGTTCGTGCTCTTCCGTGAGAGGTATATGTACTAAGGTACATTCCCGTCCTTCGGGGAGCATGGTATCCACTTTGCTGCTCACAATATCCTTCCTTATAGGAACCAATAAAGAAGTTATTTACCTCGAATTTTGGAAATCAGGAGCAGAATCACTTAATGTCATAATACTGTATTTCTCTTTTATACACCCCCCAGAAATTGGCTGATGGGAAGCTCTATATGGTCGGGAAGTATTACACAGAGTCACAAAGCTCAGGAGAACTGATGACGTGCCTGCCTGCCTAGAAGCTCCTGTCCGCCAATCGTACCTTCCATTCGTTCATTGTTCTCAGATGACAAGTCTTCTGGCATCTTCCATTCCTGGTTTTACCTTTCTACAAATTCTTTCTGCACACATGTTTCTTTATGAAAAATCAAAGAGAAACACGCGCACCTGAGCCAGAGGAGATCATTCCTGGCAGTTACTCGGATGGGCTGGACAACAGCAGGGTTTTGGAAACCAATCAGTTTCCGGCCTGTGATTATCGCACAGCTAAGCACCTCAGAACAAGGTATTTATCCTTTGCATACGCTTAGCTGTGCAAGAATCACAGGCCGGAAAGAGACCACGAGCCAGAACCCGACCAGACCGTTACGATTCGAAGAAAAGGACATTTCGGTCGGGTTCTGGCTCTTGGTCTCTTCCTGTACTGTCTCATTTCTCCTGTCACCCACTTGTAAGTTGTCACCCAGCCTCTGGCCAGAGCTCTTGCTCATTAGCAACGACACAGCCAACGGAAGAGGTCACTCGACCGGAACGCTACGATTCCAAGAAAAGGACATCTCATACCCCCCGAAATGAACATAGGCCTAGTAGGCCCCTCGCCCAAGGGATCCCATTCTGGAGTGTTCTCCGCGTATTCTGGTTAGTGAGAGTATCTTCGTTGCTGCGACCAGATAAGCCTTGCTAACCGTTGGGAAGTCGTGCACCACCAACATGGACTTTGAAGTCCTGGGTTTCGTCGATGCCGAGAAGCCTACCAAGGTCGCCGCATGTGGGAACATGCACCCGCTGCTGGATGGTGGCGCCAAGTTATGGCAGCCCGGAAAAGGCGGGCTCGCGGTCGTGGTTTCAACTGGGAACCGCAGCAAGCGCCAGAGATCAAAGGTCTCCGAGGAGGAGGTTCAGTCCATTCTTGATGAGTGAGTTACTAATCCACATATCTTGATTGTTCCATGTTGATACTAACCTCCATCTCAGTGCCAAGAAGCCCACCATCCAATCCAGCTCAAAAGCCACCAACGGGAAGCGCTCACGCGAAGACGAAGGAGCCTTTACGTAGGAGAAAAAGAAGATAAAGTCTAACAACAATGAGGCTGCCAGGGCCCGGACAACTCAACGCAGTGAACGAAGGAGCCTTTACCACAGGAGGAAATTAGATCAGATATTTTAAGCACCTAGACGTCGGCCTTTATGTCAACACGGTCGCATTCCGGAAGATGAATTCGATACCACTGTTGCACACTTGTGAGATATTTGCTCCATCTCGGGCACACGAGGGAGGAGAACGTTGTTTGGTATAAAGATGGATTAGACGTATAGTTTAATGTCGCAGTGTAAAGAGTCAGAATACCTTATCAAAGAGTTCCGGGCTCAAGAGTACAACAACGCCGCATTCTCGATCTCGCTGAGGCACTCACTTTCGCCACTTTGCATTTGAAGCTGTAAGATGATCGAGAGTTTAATGCCATGAGAAAGGCGTATTTAGTCAACTCGCGGGTGCAAGTTGTCGCTTGTGTCAATGGTTTTAACCCTGATACAGTCTCCAATCTCACTCCAGGTGATAAGATTCTACGGAGTGCTAAATTCATACCGAGGATCCTAGAAGTCATGTTTAATTTGCTACAAGATGCCCTTTGAGAAGCTAGAGATGGGAAGTTGTAGGTATTCATTCATCCTGGGGGTCGCAAACAGCGGCATAGTGCTGAGGGCCGTTCAGCCACTCGTCAGCTTTTGGGGCCCTTTCGGTCATTTGATAAAAGTTTGGAGACCTGATCTTCCACGGGAGGTAGGGGAAGGCCACACTCCCTTTCCAGCCAGTATGGGCGGATTCTTCAGAAATGGCGCAAGTGCTAGTCCAGCCTAAGACTATTGAGATTAGTGAACTTGATCAATCTAATCTTAATAGCCTCTGTGCAGAGCAGATTAAGGCAATATACAACTTTGGCCAAGGTATCCTTAGGCGTGTGCCCGAGGATGAACTCAATGTAAAGGCCATCTCGGCCAGGAGGAGCAAGGGGCTGGACTCAGGCATACACCCAAGGATATCCTGATCAAAGTTATATATACCCTTAAGCTGCTCTGCAGAGAGGCTATTAAGATTAGAGTAATCAAGTTCACTAATCTCAATAGTCTTCGGGAAACCAGCAAGCTTCGGATTGGTGGTATCAGGCTTAGGCTTTAATACATTACACCAGGTGACCTTGTTGTCCCCGAGAGAAGTTACCGAGATCCAGTTCTTTGTTATGATATTGATGGCTGTGGGAGTGGGAGTGTTAGTGTCAGTGCTCTGGCCAAGGGGCTACTGGTACTTAGTGGGTTGGTTGGTATCTGAAAAGATTCGCGCTTGGTGTATTGATGTGTTTGGATTGAAGACAAACGAAGCAAGCCGGGTACAGAGGGCAGCTTTAGTAGTCAGTCGACGCGTAGCTCGTCCTGACGGCAAGTGAGTCATCGGTATGAAATTTTCAAGAATTATCTGCCGTATGACTACAGCCTTTGGCTAGCGAACCTTTTCTTTCTTATGAGCCTTTCGTATTCATTGTATTGAGTTTGTTGGGTCTGACATCTTCTTTGTTTTAACGTCCGATCTAAATCTTCTCCGGCTAGTCCAACTTATGAATGGACTGAATCTGCACAAGCAATTCGAGAGCGATCTTAAAGCGAGGCTTTTTGCCATTAATCTTGATATGCGCGAAGGCACATTGAATTTAGAGAAAATCGAGCCAGTTGTCCCGGGGAGGTAGGATCTGGTACACCGGGTCTGGTTACCGTAGAAAGAGATCCGTATTCACGATTTGGGTGATTTATAGACCGCAGCTTAATTAGTATGGGTTAAAAGATGGGCTATCCATGCGGGGAGGCTCACCATACACCCAAACATCCATGTCAGCCTGTTGGTCCAGAAAGAACCCACCATTCCATTAGACATGAAATACATGAAAAGTTCGGATACCCGTGTCGTCATAAAGGCACGGCCTAGTAACTCTGCGAAGGGGCCATCTTCCAGGTAGTCTCTACGAGATGATCATGGCGATCTTGTGTCCTCTAGATAGATCTGTTGGGCCAGTTGCTTGACGCCGCCGTTGGCGCTATGTACCTAGCTTGAACAACCCAGCGATGGCAAGAGGGGCGTCAATCAATAAGAAGAGGAAGACAGGTAGTGACGGTAACGATAGCGGCAACAGTGTTACCCACGGCTCCCCCGGTTCTATCTGAGCAGCAATGCGGAACCAATTCCTTTCTGGGGGTGGGTGTTAGGGGCATGTCGCGAACACACGAGGTTGAGGAGAGTGAGCCGGGTTCTCAGCGCGTTGACGAATGGCTCTATGTCGAGCCGGGCTGGCATGTGAGGCCTGGCCAGTCCTTTCGATAACCTATGGCAGCAGACGAATTAATCCGAACCTTTGCGTCTAGCGAATACCGGCGCTCCTCATTGCCTCAGCGGTGATATTAACAACTTTGGTGACAGCGGTGATCAAGGGGAGAGCACTCTTGCTTTCTAGAAAGGATTCAAGGTCTACTGCCTCAGCGTGAGGTCTGTCTTCACTGTCTCCCTTGGGCGACAATGGTTTCACGACAACAAGTATAATTGACGGATGTCCCGAAAGGCTGAGATCTCTTCCTCGTCACACTGCTGAGGCTGCGGAACTGCGATACCAAAGTCAGTCTTATGCAGATCTATTTCAGGCTTCTTTAATGGAGGAATACAAAACCAGGCATCAGCTTCTGAACCGCACGTCTGGCTGGCGATTCGTGGAGATAGAGAAGGATACAGAAGGGGGAACGAGGTTGTTGATGACAGTCTCATGGAGCCCATTTGGATCCCGAAACACAGAGGAATCGTAGAGTTCGAGTACACTTTTCAAAGACGAGCTTTTTGCATGTGGTAGTCCGTTCTCGAGTAAATTTGGCATACTACTTGAAGCGAGACTTGGCGATGGTACGATATTAACAGAGTGATGATCATTGTGTTGAGATGTCTGGTCTAACATGTTGCATCACTATTTTTACTTTATACTCGAACTCTCATCTAGATGAAGAAGTCGCTTCACCATTTCCTCCCGAATAGCCGTGAGTAGTACATTGCACTCCTCCTCCGCGATAACCTTGTCCCTGCCAATTGTGACATTCGCTTTGAAAGATTCGATGTCGCACCCCGAGTTTTGTTTTAGCTCGTGATGCTCTCAAGACGGGCGACAACTGCGAAGCTAAGATGGAAATACCTTTGCAGTCCCTGTTATTCTGACACCCACTTGCCTCCCCTTTCTGCTGTTAAGACGAGCGGTCGCTGCGGTCCACTTCTTGGTTTTCTCTGCTTTGTTCCAGACTTCCGTTTTTTCCTAGGCCTATGCTCATCTGAGGATATGTACAGATAGAGACCAAGAGCCAGTACACGACCAGAACGCTACGACTCGAAGAAAAGGTGAACACGACCTTTTCTTCCAGTCGTAGCGTTCTGGTCGTGTTCTAGCTCTTGGTCTTTTTCTGTACATATCCTCCTTTAGAGTTTCCGAGTTTGGTGATCTGTTCCAGTGCTAGATGGCACCGGAACAGATCACCATCTGCCGTCAAGACGAGCGATCGCTGCGAAGCTGACCTAGCTGTCTGCTGCTGTGACGAGCGATAGCTGCGAAGCTGACCAGCCTGTCTGCCATAAGGATGTTCGGCCATGTATCTGCTACGAAAATTGTCTACTGTTAGATTCGTACGACTCCGTGGGGGGCAAATGGGCAAAACTTACGATTGTTCAATATCTTGGGCCGGCCCGACGGCTGAGAAACCATGTCTGCCGATCTTTCTGGCGACTCGGTCTGTTGGGTGTTAGGAGCCTCGCTCAAGAACCAAAATCTGGCAAAAAGTCGCCAAAGAGAAGTGAATGTAGACCAGTTCGATAGTACTTACTCAGAGGTTTGTAAGTTGAGTCATCACCATAAAAGAAGGTAAAGGAAGGCAGGATGGTTGCACGATGATAAAAATCGGTGGATGTTCTCATGAAGGGCTGAGTCTGATGGGAAGAAAGAAAGTGAGAGAGGGAGGGAGAAAGGGGAGAGGAAAAGGTGTTTGGTAGGTCGAGGGATGATGGTCTACCTCGTAAGGTGGTTCTGAACCAGGTGTGCTCCTGCCTCCAAATCCCCGGACCACAGCTCGGTCAAAAAGTGGAGGAAAGGTGGAGAATCAGTGGAGCACACCTCGAGTAAACTCCTCAGGCAACAACCCCTCGACCTCATCGTCGCCTTTTAGGGAAGGAAGGGTTAGAGATTATGAAAAGAGGTGTTCAATTATATCAAGCGGTGCCAAATTCTCTCCACTGTTGTGGCAAAATGTCCATGATGGTCATTCGATCCTCGGCAAATGGTGTTGTCATTGCCAGATCGAGGTGCTCGTTAAAAAAGACATCGATGGAAAGATCCAAGGTTCCTTCAGTTGAGGCAGGTGCTGTATCATGCCTCAGAGGCGACCCGTTCTCGCCGGCAAAAATCACCACACCGCTGAAATCAACTCAAGTGCATCAGATATTCATATGACATTGCAAGTCTCGCCATTCCTCGTTTAACTAAGTGTCCTTACTGCACTGCTTTCATGTGTGTTGGTGAAGGGTGATCCGTCGCCGTCTAATATCTCTTGAGCACGACTAGGTAGCCCTTGACCCTGTAACATCTTCGTAAGTAGAGGTAGACCGCAGAGAATTTACAAACAATCGACTTCAATATGCTGAGTGGGTAGTATCATAAGGCAAGGCTATGCTTAATTCCGGGTGCCAGCACCCAATCTAATCCTCGTAATTTCCTAGTAGTACATGCATTGCTAAAGTGCAGACAACCTCACTTAGCACCGGCCGAGTTGGAGTTATCAGCGCAGCTCCAGGCTGACGATCCTCCACTGGCCTGGTAGGACTCGATAATGGCCATGACCGACCCGTACGTTCCGCCAACCATGAGGAAGGTACCGACCACGATCATGAAGACGCTCCAGACAACCATGAGTGTCCACTTGATGGTCCTGTTGTTCTTCCCGGCGGACCAGTTGTCGTAGAGCCACATGCACCCGTATGGCTGGAAGCACATCAGTGTGCCGAGGAGAGCGCCGATCAGAGATACCAGGTTGCCGAAGATGGGGATCGCACTGGCGATGATGTACGCGATGAGGGTCACGCCACCGGTGCAGGCGAGCCAGGTGCCCCAGTGGACAAGGCTGTTGGAGTTGAGATGGGGTGTGCCTCGGAGGAGTCTGAGGAAGAGATACTTGGCGGGGACCTGTTTTTCAAAGCGTGGTTAGCCAAATGAGTTGTGCCGGAGGCGGTGCTTGCAAGGTCGGATCAAAGCTTACATGAGTGACGATCATGGTGGTGACGATGAGGCCGGGAAGCGCCAAGCCGTAGCAGACCTTCTTCATGATAGCACCCGCAGATCCCAAAGCAGGCGAGGCGACATACGAGCCGCAGTAAAAATAGACTACAGTGCCGATAGTAATGTATGTAACGGTCACAATCGTCTGGCAAGTAAGGAGAGATCGGGTGTAGTGCTTTGGCTCTCGCATTTCGGCTGCGATGGAGAAGAAGGCAGGGGTGCCAGCAAAGGCAAAGATGTGCGAAGAGACCGCGGAGATGCCGTCCACAAAGTTGGGCGAGCCGATGATTTTGTAGTTCGACTTCCATGGACCTTCAGGGGCGGCGGCGGGCCGATCTTGAACACCGACGGCAATGGTAACGCAGAAGACTGTTTGAGAGATGTTAGCCAGCGCACATTGAAAAAGAATTCGGTAAAAGATAGTGAACTTACTTGCGGTCAGAATGCAAAACAACCCAACCCAGGCGAGCCAGCCAATTTTCCCTAGAGTACGAATACTGGAGAAGAGAAAGCCAAGAACAGCGGCGACGGCAACGAAGACAGCTGTGCAGGCAGCGTGGCTTGATACTGAATTGAGGCCAATAGAGATACCCAGATGGGCGGATCCGGCAACAAAGATCCAGTCTGTGGCGGAACGGGTTAGATTAGCACATCATCCCTCGACGGTTGATAATCGAGAAACAAAAGGAGGAACTCACAAAGCATGAAGGCGACGGACAAGACCTCACGCCCAACAACTCCGAACATCTTGAAACCAGCTTCATCCAAACTGTAGACGTCGGGGTGGTTACGCTTGAAAGACCCGACCATATAGCCTGACCACGTTGTCGAGGCAGATACGGCGATGAGGCAGAGGATGCCAGGAACAATACCGAGCTTGTCGAATGTTTCAGGGATGGACAAGACACCAAGACCGATCTGTGTTTTCGCCATGAGGGCGACGGTGGCGATCCATCCAAGCTGTTATCATGGTCAGCATTCTGCGATCTCACAGTGGAAGAGAAACTCCGAGTGACATACGTTGCGGTAGTTGGGACCACCCTCTCTCACTTCACCAAAAACGGCATCTTCAACGTCGCCGTATTTGGGAAGTTCATTTGGGTTGCTAGAGCTGCGAGCGATTTGATCCAGATCCTTTTCTTTGGATCCCTTTGAGAGAGCTGGAGAGTCCATGATGGCGACACAAAATGGTAGGCAAGACAGTAACTTGTGGAATCAAATAGAGTTGAGGAAGCACAGAACAACAACGCTCCAGAGAAAATGGGGAAGAATGGGAGAGAACGTGGAGATTGAGCATGAGACCAAATCTGGGTCTGGGGAAACAGTGCCCACATACTTATAGAATTCAGTTTCTGTTACTTTAGATCAACATGCGTCCCCATCATGACCCCGTATCACAACTGGCTCAGCTCCGCAGTCCTCCTAGTGCAGCCCCCAGCAAGTCCGGGCACCACGGCCCACATCGTAGGAGCCCGGAGGCGTGAAGTCATGCGGCGGAGCATGCCATTTCCGGACGTGAAGAACAAAAGAAAAGATTAGTTGATGCAATAAAAAGTGCCGGATAACCTCATTACCAAATTGTATGAGGAGTGATTAGCCGTATCTTTCACCAAGACATGGTAAGAATATCGCTATCGCGAGATTAAGAGAAGCAGCTGCCCATTTGCCTCATTGGTTATTTTGGAGAAGAATGAGGCTTTTACCCCAAAATGTCTCCAACAAAATACCCGCCGGCAGTTTCTAATTGGTCTAGCTCTGGGGGGGGCCTGGCAGACCGACGACCCATATCATGTGTGGGGATGGATGAATGTAATCAAATTCGAGAGTTGCAGTGACGACACCGACCGTATGTTGGCCCCGGCGAGGCAAAGAGGGTCTTTTCTTCCAGGCTGACTCGTTTGATGACGCCAGATATAACCTTCGCCGGCTTGGAGCGTGTATGACTAGGCGCCAAAAATCTGTCCACACTCGCATTTGGGCGTGCCGGCTTTGCCGAATCCGCGTCTTGAATCGGTGCGGACCCTTGATTCGCGTTGATTGAAATGTACGGGTTTTCCATAGGTAGTCTCTATGGTTATTTTGTATGTTGCCTTCACGTTCGATCGCCTAAACAGGGTGCTGGTAGTCTCCGGCTCTGGCGTCGATTTGCCCGTGAAAAGCCACTTCAGCCAGGCACCGACAGTGCCACAGCACTTGCCCACCCCCGAGACGAGGTTATTGAAGAACATTTTCCGCTATTATAATGACGCGTTTCGTCTATCGTTGGGTCTGTATCTAGAGGTAGTGGTTAGAAGGGGAAAACACTAAGAGGGCATCCCTGTCTTACCGTGCTTCCGCCCTGCTCGCCTAGACCTTCCGTGCCAACAGGTACGCAGGGAACGAGGAGAATCACGCAAGGAAACGTTCTAGAAGAGCTGGGGAGTCGACCCCTGAGCAGCGCGGTGTCTGTGCTGTGTCATGCAATGTGATGACATTGGGGATTCTATGTGTCAAGGAATGCGGCTGGAAAGTCCACAGTGACGTTGTGTGCTGACTTAGCGCCTGCCACCGCTCCGCCGCCTCCGGTTGCAGTTTTGTGGGCAGAATCTCAGCTTTGCCGAATTGGAGAGAGCCCCCCCTGCGACTGCCCTTCTGAAACGAGAGTGACGGGCAGCCGTGTGGTGATTGGCCGCTGCCAACGGCGCTAGCGCTGAATAAGGCCGAACCGTCTGCAAACGCTGGAGCGGGAAAGAGTGAAGCTTGTTTGGCCAAAGCCGCCAAATCAGCCCTCAAACAGATGTCCAGACGTGACAAAATTGTAGCCAAAGTTATGATGTGTAATTTTACCTAAAGCTTTGATGTTGTATTTTGCATGCATCTGCTTCCCCCTGGCAGGCTAAGTTCTCAGATTGACGGAGACGTTTGTTTCCTTTTGTGCCCCATAGGTGCAGCTTATCACCACAATCAGGTCCTCGGATCATGGTGGCTACACTTACCCTGTACGCCAACGTCGGCCCGCGGTGCTTGGTCGCAATTCACCACATAACCTTACTCTCTGGATGGAGCCAAGCAGATAATTTTCCTACATTGCACAACAGCACGTCACATTGTCTTTTCTGGCTTTCGTTTGAGAAATCGAGGCCTTTATCCCCGTGTCTCTGCACGGCGCGCTCCCGAAAAGCGATGCTTGAACCGTTTCCCATGTCAATTCCGTCTGCAAACCTACTCGTTCGTATATTCGAACAATTGAGCATCCTCTCACTTCGGTGGCCCAGGACACTCTGATATCAAATACACCGCGGGTTCCATCCATAGGAAAAGGTTGTGGAACTATGCCCCTATCACATGTTCACGATCCAAACCGTTTTACTACGATGCTTTGACGCCGCATAAGATCAATGATGGCAAGTATCGCTGCCGATAACAAACTTGCCATGCTCTGGCCTACTAGAATGGTATCACAGCCCTCCCGGCGGCGGCGACAACGACGATGGGAGACCCAATCCACCCAATACACATGTCTCAACGAAGTAGACCGAGAGGCTTCTGCCGCCGAACAGGTTCGGGACGCAACGGCCCGTGAGAACCGGCAGAACTAAGGTGGCTTCAACTTGGTGTTCTCTTGCGCACCCGGGATCTTCTACGGAAAAAGGGTTTTAGGTGCGTATTCAGAAATAGAATGATCAGCCCACATCGGCAAGCCAGACTTCTAATCAAGGTTAGAAATATTCTAGTTTATTGCGACAAGGGCTTCACTTTCCGACGGCGGACTCAATTTCCGGGTCCCGGGAAGTAGTATACTTGGACGACAGAACTGTGAGTTGACCCTCGCTGGAGACACAGACGATCATATTATTCTAAACACACGAGCAAACGAACTCATCTACCAAGGCCAACCTGTGCAGCCTGAAAACATGGAGAAATCGAAGATCATTATCAGATATAATGATCAAAGACAATCACTAAGTACAGTAACCGATTACGGATGAGATAGTTCGCGTACAGAGTAAATAGTACCTAAATCCGATGACTGAATGCGATAACTGAGCGTAAGAACTGAATACTATGAGCGAAGCGAAGATATATTTGCCATTTTTGCTGTAAAGAAGAAAAAGGAGGAAATAAAATTGTGTAAGAGGGGAATGACAGCTCCGCCGAGCTGGAGGAGGATGGCATACGAAGTGCAGAGTGGGTTTATATCTGCCAAACATTTTCCCGTTCCCGATCCAGCTCGTGTGGGTGCCCTGAGCAATTGGGCTGCGTATTAATTGTATTGAGATGTCAGGTCTGGCGTCTTCATTGCTGTTTCTAAGTTTATAATTGAAATCTCTCATTTGTATCCGCATTCGTATCGTGCTTTCCCTAGGTAGTTTCTGATTGAAGTTGCGGGAATCGGGATTTTGTGTCTAAACTTCTGAATTCCAGTTCGGTTGGTTGAGGAAAGCGGGACTCCTTGCTTCCACCAACTTGATCCTCATCCTCCCGCTAAGGCGGTTGCAGCGCCTACATCATCTTCGGTCCGCCCCTCAAACCCTCCCTCCTCATGGGCCCAAGTGGCGGAATCAATAGCCATGACGGGTGACTCTAGGGCTGGTGCCAGCTCATCCTCGCCTCTATCGGTTTCCGGAGCACTACTTTTGTGCCGATCCGAAAGCAACTTGCCGAAGCCACTTGTGTTACAGAACGCATTCCGGGTGCTAGCTTGTGCTCAAAGCAATTGAGGTGTGCCGGAATACCTGCTTCGCTGATGCTGAGGGTTTGACTTTGACTCATATTCAAGTCGATCCAAGAGGGTAGTTTGAATAGTGATCTGACGAGCGGCTCTTCCCGACGGTTAGTGAGTCATTGGTAAGAAGAGCCTTGGGCTAGTGAAGCTTTTTCTTTTAATATTCGTATTTATTGTATTGAGATGTCTGGGTTGGTATCCTTCATTGATACTCCTAACTGTATATTCGGCTCTCTCATATGTATTAAACTCGATCCTTGAACGGTTATTGTTGATCCTTGAGCCCCAGTGATGTAGTTGGGTACTACCCATGGCAAGCCTTGAAAGAGGCAAGTCGAAGCTTAGCAAACTTGGTTGATCTTGGAGCGTAAGCCCGCTCAACCAAGGCGCCTGGTTTGAACCAAGCTGGAGCAACCCTTACAAGGGAGTTTCTTGGCCAGCGATGGCTATTGTACTCGTGGATCTAGGACTAGCTTAGCCGTGGATTTTGTATATAGTGGTGGGCTCGTTCGTGATTGCGTGGTGCCTGGGTTCCCGTATGGCGTTTGTAGTCCTGAGATCCGGCTAAGGTTTTTAGTCCCGGCCCGCTGGGTAGTATGATGCGGGTGACTGTGTTTCAATTTTTGTTACGTACCCCCTATCGGCTTAGATAAGAAATTGACTCGATTGATTGATGGTTGACCCTTGAACGGCTATTCGGATTTTGCTGGGTTTCCTTTGAGAGAGATTTGTTGCGTGACAGTACTATGGGTGAGGCTTGATTTGAGAATCACTTTGGACCGAGAACATTTTGGTCGCCTCTTAACCATTCTTTTCTTGTTGCTGTGCACTGTGTACTGTATTTTGAGAGAGTTTGAGTATAAAGTAAGAAACAGCAATGGAAGAGGCCGAGCTCGACATCTCAACACCAATAGGGGTGTGGTTCTTAGGGTGAGCAGACGTAGCAGGGGCCGTTCGGGAATGCTGCCGTATAGCGGATCGAAATGCTCGAGGGACGTTTAAGGCGAAGTAAATAAGTGATGTTTAATCGGTAGCTTGCATCGTGGTCTCATCGAACCTGGTTATTGACCGAGTTAGTAGCTGAAGAGGAGAGAGGGAAAGGAAAGCATACTGTATCCATACTTGTGGATCAAACCTCAGCGGAACCTTGCTGAACCCTGACCCCTTCAATTCCAACCTTAGACAGTGTCTGTTTGACCATAGCAATTCCATTTCCTTGAGTTTCATACATCGTTTTGGGAAAGTTCCGCTGGCCCGTGTAAGAAATGCTTCCTGTAAGCGAAAGTCCTTCGGCTCTGTGTGCCGGTTGTTGACGAACGTATCAATACCAAGGTGTGTGAAGGACACATGGAAGCTCGAACCCTTGATATAGAGTTCCTCCGAGCAAACCACTCCTACAAGCGCCCTTCCGCGTGAACCGTTATGGAAACTCACATCCGCTGCTGGATGGTGGCGCTAAGTTTTGGCAGCCTGGTAATGACGGGCTTGTGGTCGTTGTTCCAACCGGAAACTATCGTCATGTATCTCTTCATCCCTGGAGTACATCCTTCAGCGCTTAGTTTCTCATCTTGTTCATCGTTTCGTACGTATGTCGTTCAAGATGCCTTGCTTGCCAGATAACCGGGTTCAAGAGGTTCAGAGTGCTTTCGACTGGAACTTGCGAGAGTCGGCATGCTGTGGCTAGATTTCCGACTTCTAGTTCGGTGACGCGAGAGAGTGAACACCATCGTGACCACGCCGGGCGTTCCGTTTCTTGCTCTAAAGGCGCAAAATCACGACCGATGAAGAGTCTTTGATCTGGAAGAAAAGATCGTTATTCGGTCGTGTCTGTTCGTGCTTGCTTGTAGTTGATAACGGACCCCGGGACAAAGGAAAGCAGGATTGGTAGGCAATACATTGAACCTTGGACGTAAATGATGTTGATGTAAGGGGTAGGTAGAGAGGGACGGTGAGTTAGGATGGTGTATTTGTAAATTTGGATGCCTTATTCCTCAGGGTTCACGTAGGAGACCTTGAAGCAATTGCCGCAAGTATCTCTTGTACCTGTCGCGCCTTTTTCTAGTGGCTGTGGCCTGGGATTGGGCGGTAGGTACTTCATTTTCCGCACCGATATCGTGCAGTTTCGGGCCGAAGGGACTTGATGTTCTCCTCACCGAGTGGTTCCGAGCTCAGTAGGCAAGCACCTAAGCACGCTTCGCTGAGCAACGTCTGCACTTCCCAACGCGGGGGAGAAGTTGCTGGGTAATCTTTGCCGTGCTGTTACATGCACGAATACATTTTGACAAGGAGAACCCGTTTGACCTGATGGTTTGACTCATTGCACCAACACCGAATCTTTCGCGCCAAGGCCCTCGATCGATCGTGAGTATCTAGCTTCGATGACAAGCAGAGACCAGTCTCGATCTTCTGGCAGTAGCCCAACCATGCTGCTACTCGACATCCAACAAACAGCAGAGACTTGGGCAAATTACGCATGCTGGGCCAACTATTAGGCCCTCTGCTATGGGCTGGGAGCCACGGTTGACCAGGGACTGCTCCCCACCTGAATAAATGATTTCCACGAGGGCGTTAAGGGTCCCACGTCCGACAGAAGTGATGTGCCATAGCTCGCGACTTTGCGGGGGGATTCGGGCGAATATCGACTCTGGTTCTTAGCTAGGTGCTTGTAAGTAATGAAGGCGTAAAGCGGCTGATTTCTCAATCCGGGCGATCTTGTGAGGCGTCAAACTGTGAGGGGAGCAGGCGTTTGATGATCCAGGAAGAACGTAGGTCTCCCAAGCACAAGTGTCGCAATGCTAGGTCTCCCAATTCTCCCAAGGATGCCTCTCCAACGACTGCCCGCTGCCAGGCTTGCTTGGGGAAGCTTGTAGAGAAGACTCGACACCCCAAATCAGGGCCAACCTTAGAGGAGCTAGAATTGCTACCGCGAAACTACATCGGCTATAACACACGGTTTCCACTCCTAAGTGCTTAATTACCAGCGTAACTGTTCTGCTGCATTTTATTGGCCTTTGTATCAGCAAAAACACACAGGAAGATATCTCTGGCCTCCTTGTCGGGCTCTACTTTGCTGGGCTAGCTGTTCATTTCTTTTTTTTGTGTCATCTTAAGGGCCGAGTAATACCTGACCAAAGCCGCGTCTTCAGCCCTTGCTACATCCTTCTCTGCGCGTCAATTATGAGTTGGTTGACCGTAATCCCTGTTGAATGAGCAAAGTTTACGATTCGCTCAAGTGCCAGGTTTCTCGAGAGACCTTCGCTAAGAGTTGTCTCGTCAGTGCGAGCTGCTTGTAGACGCCTGTTCAGGATGGCGTCAACCTATGGAGTAGTGGTAGATCCTACAGCGTTCTGTACCTTCTGGGAGGGGGCAACGCTATCCTGCTTCAACTATTCACGGGGCGGCGATTGGGGCGGTGATGGTGACCGTGATAGAGGTGGTGGCGATGGGGGAGGCAGAGATGATATCGATGAGACGATGGTATGGCAAGAAGTGAAGGTGACTACCTAAGCAACGATTGATCGATGCTTAAGGTAGGTAGGTTGGGTGAAAGGTAAGTAGGTGGAAAGTGAAAGAAACCTATGTGTTTTGTTTTGCATCAAGGTTGGGTAAATCCAGTGAGTTGCAGTGCACATCACTGTGCAAGTGGTCTCCAGAGCTAAGGTACTTAAGAAACCTGTTTTAGAGTTGCAAGAGGCAAGTGGGTGTCATGCAGTTGTTGTTCGACAAATCTTATGATACTCGGTAAGAATCATAATAATGCGATCATGACCTTGAAACCTTGCTCTGTATATCAGAGGGGCCCAATAAAGCTTTAGAGATAGTAGTAGAGTTAATACTAAAGGGCCTGGCATTAGAGGACGGCTCTCAGACAAATTCTTAAATCCTTTTACCTGTACATAACTTGGACATAGACACCCTTCTTATGAAGTCGATTAACTAGTAGGTATATTTTAGATATAGAAATGAGTTCAGTAAGAGAGAAGATCTTAAGAGTAATAATTGTTACTTAAATCAAAACGAACAAGACTATCACTAGTAACTTTGTTTGCCTACGGATCTGAATCCTAAAAAAGTTTGGAAACCCAAAGCGAACTTCCCTACGGACCAGTCCAGTTCTGGAAGCTACTGTCGCGGTATAGCACCATCGTCAGATCTCGGTTTAAAGCATCACCTGTACGAGGCACCTAGGCGGGTATTAATCAATGCTTTCAATAGCTCACACAAGAACATCAAACCCCCATGGGTTGTCTCTTATCACCGGCCAGCCTAGAGATGCGACGCATCCTAAAGGTCAGTTTCAGCTATGGGTTCATCCAAGTGCGGGGAAAAGCCGGAGTCTGGCCAAAGTAACACTGCCAGTCGGACGAAAGTCACTCAATTCATTCTTGAAACAGGAAACAGAACCCATCTTCCCAATTCATGCCTCAGCGCCGTGGTGGTTCGATGAAGACATCCGCACCTGTATTGCACAACCGACGATCCTCCTCCTCTATCCAGCAGTCCGGGGCCCTCCGCCGCGATGCTCGATATCCCTTCATCTTAAGGCTACCTCACCTGCCAATTCGAAACGGTACTTTGTTAGCACTCAGCGTCGCAAGTGCCAGGCCGCCATTCGGCGTGGGGCAGGTTTTGGCTCCTTTCGGCAGTTGACAAGCAGCTCAACTCTTATCTCCTCTCAGCTTCCCAATCGAGATGGCTTCCTGTGGCAAACACACCTGCAGTGCAGAAAGGCCTCGCAATCCAGAACATCGCCGGCTACCACAGTGACGACGCATCAATGCCGTAAGTTCCTATCGAAGAACCTAACATAAAAGGGCCATCCCGGGCGCGCATTCTCGTCGATTGCCACTGACATTTACCTTCTTTTGCCTAGGTAGCTGGCAACCAGATCAGCCTAGTCCACAATGAAGCACTCCATCGCTTGGGCGTTCCTTGCGCTCAACGGGCTTACCTCCGGGTGTCTGCTCCCTGAAGAGCGCAACGACGACGGCTTCGTGCCCATCGTCCGCCGCCAGTCATCGACCGGCACTCCCGTCGGCACAGGCGATCGGTTCAGCGGCGGCTCCATTGCCCCCCGAGGACTCGGATCCCAGTCCACCTCGTTCAGCACCCTGCTCAACGTCAATGAGGTCCAGAGCGGGCTGAAGGGCCTGGTTAACACCTACGGCATCACCACATTCACCACCCCCTACACCACCTACAACGGTAACTCCATCGTTGGAGCCAAGATTGGAGGCTCGGGAACTGGCGACGATGCCTACCGCGTCTACCTCAACGGCAATATCCATGCCCGCGAGCGTGGATCCATGGACAACATCCTCTACTTCGTGTCCGACCTGCTCTATGCCAACAAGAACAATGTCGGACTCACGTACGGCTCCAAGACGTACACGGCCGCCCAGGTCAAGACTGCCCTATCCGCGGGCATTGTCATCGTGCCCAACAGCAACCCTGACGGCACTGCCTACGACCAGTCCTCCAACAGCTGCTGGCGCAAGAACCGCAACCCTGCCTCTGGCTCCGTCGGCGTTGACCTGAACCGCAACTTCGACTTCCTCTGGGACTTCAAGACCCTCTTCGCCAGCAGCGTCCAGTCCAGCGTCGGGTCCACATCCCCCAGCTCCGAGACCTACCACGGCACAGCCGCCTTCAGCGAGCCCGAGACCAAGGCCATCAAGTGGGTATTCGACACCTACTCCAAGATCCGCTGGTTCGTGGACCTCCACTCCTACACCGGCGACATCCTCTACAGCTGGGGCAGCGACGACAACCAGGTCAACTACCCCTACATGAACTTCAAGAACAGCTCCTACAACAGCGTGCGCGGCATCCTCAGCGACACCCCGGGCTCCGGTAAGGGCTACGGCGAGTACACCCCCGCCGCCGAGAACACCATCAACCAGAACGCGGCCAAGCGCATCGCCGCGGGTCTGACTGGCGGAGGCGGCGCTACTTACTCTGCCATCCAGGCCTCGGACCTCTACCCCACGTCGGGTGCCAGCGACGACTACGCCTACTCGCGTCACTTTGCCGACTCGAGCAAGAACCTCGTCCACGGCTACACCATCGAGTTTGGATTCGGCAACAGCGCCGCCTCCTGCCCCTTCTATCCCACCGTCTCCCAGTACAATTCCAACATGAAGGCTGTCGGTGCTGGGTTCATGGAGCTGCTCCTCGCTGCTGTTGAGTACGGCCTTGGAGATTAAAAAGATGCAGAAATGAGATAATGATTATTGAGATTGGGTGGGATCTTTGTCTGAAATATACTAGCCTTAGTTTTCGAAATCAGCAAGTCTGAAGTGCGAGCCCATTCGTCTTGGTCTGTTGCCATCACTCCAAGAAGTTGGGATCGTATGAAGGGATTTTGCGTTTGATGAATGAGATGATGTTATGTTTTTATTATTTCCCTGGCCTACATTGAGACTTGACATCGCCTACTTGTTGGGACAGACTCGACAAGAAAGTAGGTTTGTTTACGTTGTAACTTCTGCTCCGGACACTACGCGGGGCTTCCCCAAACCTAGAATTGTATTCTAACCTTCCTGAGGACTTGATGCGAGGAGATCTAGGTCTATGAGACCGACCATGATAAGGCAATCAGTGCGCATAGCATTGTTGAACGATTGAACTTGAATTAGAGCTACGGAACCATTAAGCCGAGAGGCTCCTCTTATAAATCTGTCACATTCCCATGGACCGACTTAGAGCCGCTGAGTCTCTATGTTAGCTTTACCCTCATCAAGAAGAATCTCAACAATCTCTGCATGTCCCAACTTAGCTACTAGAGTCAAGTATTTCGTGCCCGCGGCATCTCTTTGATTAACATGGGCTTGGACATTTCTATTGTCAAGAAGAAGCGCTACCGCGTCTTCATCTTTGTGACCTACCGCTAAGAGGGGGAGTTACCCCCAATAAGTCACCACAGCTCTCGGCGACCTGGGGAGAAGTAAGCAACCCATCATCACCGATACCAACGGCACGCCAAACCCATTTTGTCCTCATAGCAACAAGCACTGTGACTTGAATTGAAATTTATAGCCTGCCGCGTACCGAGTATATTTTATCCGAGTAATATCGCAGGTCTCTACGGCTTCCTTCTTACATCAGTTGGGCTGACCTGTTACAACTTCTGCGAATTGTCATCTAGGGTAGGTATAAAGGGATGGCAGGAAAACGGGATATGTTTCGTTAAATGAATGTTTGAATGACTCTCACCGCCTAGCAATCTCCCTCTTATCACGCAAAATACACGTCAATCAAATCTGGCACAAAAACCTGCCACCCTTTGCTGGAAAGAGCCTCATCAACCCGCATACACTGTATGACATCGGGATCTGGATAGTCCCTCCAGCCTAGCCACCGCCTATTCTGTGTGCGATATGCTGAGATAATCGAGCGCCGGCCCGTCAGACACCAGACTGTGTGCCTGGGGAGGAGACTAAACTGGCCATCGTTGATTGGCATTCCAGACGTCGAATGTTCCGAGATTGAACTCCAATGTTCGCTGTCGTGATTCAACGGGCAAAGACTTGCGTTTTGCGGAAGGGATATATAGGCCGATAGAAACTCAATGAAATGCTTCACTATTTTTGTGTTGTGTTTTTTGAAGCCCCAATCGTCATCTTCGTCTTCTTCAACCAGAAGCTCTGTTAAAAAGTGGCTGAACGAACTAAACAGTATCTGATTTTCGATATGGTAAGATGCGGAAGACTCGTCCTGCAGGAAAATGAAACCTTTCGGAAATTTACATATCGAAGCAATCTTCCATAGAAACATGCCAAGCATAAGAGCGGAATCAAGCAGTGCACCTGTACGCACAAACTGCGTCAAATCTTCGGCGAAAAGGCTGATGTTTCGAATCAAAGATAGCGTTCTCGGAAGGGTCTGCCCCTCTCTTGCGTCGTTACCCCTCTTCAGAAGTAGGGATAGAGTTTGGTGGTAGATTACGGCCTTTCGTAACAGCATTCGTACCCAGAGTCTCTTCCGTTTCCATGTTTCCTTGGGATAGTCAACTTTGTTTTCCAAGAGCTGTGTCCAAGGCTCCACGAGGCCGCTCAGATCGGCACCGGTATACACGCCTGATCGAAAAAGAGCTTTGACCCATGTGTTGACGTTGGCTAAATTTGGAACGCTGTGGTCGTGGACTAAATGAGGAGGATGTATTGTCGTTATTCTGTCAAAGTCTGGCCCATGAGGGCCGAGAGCGCAAATTTCACTTGACTCGGCTGCCACATGATCCGTGGAAGTGGTTGAAGAGCGAAGAAGGAAATATGAATCAAAGTAGGGAATGTAGACAACAACGATGTCAACTCCCTCGAGCTGATCCCATGTGCTTGTATATATGGCGCTTGGTTCCCAAAAAGGTGAGACGCCGCAAAATGTGATTTGTTCCGTGTTGGGACCGGAAGCGACCAAGAATCCTTTCAGTCTAAGGCAACCAGTTGCCTTCCCAACGGCCGGCCCTTCAGTTTTGACACACCTTAAAAGTAGATGTGGACTCCAGCCTTTTTCCTCGATGCCCAAGTATTCCTGGTCCTGCCTAATAGAAGCAGCCTCAAGCCATTGCCGTTGCCCAATATCCGCCCAGTTCGGGACCCACGATGCCCACGATGCCCACGCAGAAACACCATTCGTGCGGGCTAAGCAGAAAATTGTTCTGCAGTCCTGAGCAGAACAATGATTGAGGAAGTGGCCCGTCACTCCGACCATGAGATCCGCAAGTGGTATAGAATAGTCTGGCGTGAGACCCATAGCTCTTGATCCAACAACCAGGCCGAGAAGAGCAAACACTCGATCTCGTGGATCAGATGATTTGCAGTTGAGGGTGCTGCAAAGTAACTGAAACAGATCTAGACCCTCGCGGGACTTGCGGTCATTGCAGTAATGGATCCAGGATATCCCGGTAGCGTCTGGAAGGCTGCGCGCTATAGAATCAAAGATTCCCCAATCCCACGTTGTAGAACCACATATGACGGTCTTCTCCGCGGCAAACACCAATTCCTGCACTACCCAGATTCGGGAGAAGTATGATTTGCCGCAGAGTTCTTCAACCTGCTGACGGAGACGCGAACTGTAGAGTGGTTCATCATCGAAAGATCCAGGTTCATTCTCGCCCAGGTAGACCATGACCCTTGCTGCGCATGCGAAGATATCCGCCATCATTTCTACTTGATGACTTCGTTCGTCGACATCCTCTTGGTTGATGCAGATGGCATCAACCCAAAGTGTCCTTGTCTTGTTGCGGTAGCGGAGCCTTCGAAGGGCGTTGGCGCAATTTTCTGTGACCCTGATCACCTCCCAGCCTTCGCCGTAATAAACGGAGCATGATTTACGGGAGTCGCCTGCATCGTTGGCCCAGGTGTATGAAAGTGCCTCATATTCCACCCCGAATGCGAAGTCCTCGACTGTGAGATCAATGTGAAGTAGATCGTTGAAATTTCCGTTGGAGAGATGCAACAGGCGGATTTGCCTTTCGCCTAGTCCTTGGAAGCGTGATTTCCGTGGAAGGGGTTCAGAGCAAGAGAGGGCTGATGCTTCTTTGCCGTCATTTGGTTGTTCTTGGGAAAGGCTGTTGGGCGATGCGCTCGTTCCACGACTGATTTTAAAGTCATCGTCGTCAAAGTAGGAAACAGACGAGGGCCAGTGGAGGTTCTCATGACGGGATGGAGGCTCAAGCGCAAGTATCGAATAGGTGGCTGATGGCCCGGCATCGGTGGCATCGTTGTCGTTCGAAGGGCAGACTTCTCCACAGCTGTTGCAGCACGGTACTAGTCCGCCGAGCCCTAAGTCGATGACAGTAATGTCAGCCTTCCTGCAGTCCCTGTGCCAAGTCATAGGATCGGTGGTTCTGTCTCTCTGGATGCCGTAGGTGTTTTGTTCTGTGTATCGTGAGATCTGCGCGGATGATGGGCGAAAAATAAATAAGCAGTTGCGGGTGCCTCCCATGTGTGTATTGTTTGCTCCATTCTGGGCACATGACAGAGCAACAGAACTCATCCCAGGCCGTGCCGTGTCATCGCTTGATCAATAAAGGTGGTGAAAAGAGGAGCCTGGCAGGGGAGAAGAGCGGGCCTTGCAGATGCCTTACAGTTGCCTTGCTGTGGCTGACCAGGAGCCACCAGCCACTGTCCGACCTGGGGTGTGGCTTGCACCAACACCCGCAAGAACTTGAAAGGATCAGATCGCCTAAGAAATAATGGATGAAGCTACAGTATAAGCATGCAGGAGAATCGAATTAATTAAGCTATAGGATTGGGATCTCGAATCTCAATTGGAATATTCTCTAAGCAATAGGGGAAAAGGAGATCGCTTGCACCGCTGCTTAAGAGTCACCAATTACCCTGGAGCTACTCCAAACTCTTATGCTGCCATTAGCAAACCCAATGGCAAGCAGCAACTCCGAGTTCGGTAAAAACAAAAGCTAGTGCTCCCTGGTTCGTAGACACTCCATCACAATGAGACAGAAAAAGATAAACAAAGAATCATCAAAAGCAGCGGCAACCTTGACGACTTGATCACGCACTAAGGTGGTGTGTTTGCAAACATCGAATTTTACAAGACTATTATGTGAAAGCCATACGGTTGTTTAAAAATCGTTTGTGAGCGACACACAATGGACTGTTATAGCCCTCAAACATCTCTCGATTGTGTTAATTGTTTGCCTGCACTTGGCCTTTGCTATCAGATGCCGTTGTGGAAAGTTCTCAAACGCAAGGCATAGTTGATTGAGCGATTCGCGTCAGGCCGGATTTCGCTGAGCCTTTGTGCTGCTTTCAATTATAGTTACCACCTTTGTTCGCACCACTGCAAGGCAAAAACCGAGGCGAACAAACCACGCCTTCTTCCTATGTGATTTTGTTGATGTATAACTAACTGGTTTCTACCTGCCAAAAAAAATGTTTTCCGCTGAGAGTCAATCTAGCTGCTTGATCCGTCCTGCACCAACAGACAATCCACTACAATGGCATTGACAAGTCTCATCAACCTTGCATCAACCTATGACTCTGTCATTAAGACCTTTGAGCACATCCACTTTGCAAATACCTTTTCATTTGACTATGCTGATTGCATGCTCAAGCTCGCCAATGTAAAGCTCCGACTGTCGCGCTGGGGCGGGGCCGTGGGTCTTAGCAGCGTGGATGAGTATGCCACAAGCATTTACGGTACGAAAGTAGTTGAAGAGGATATACCCCAAGCAATCAACTTGTTGGGCGCGATACACGCAGCGCTGGAAACGGCCAAGGACAGCGATCGAGAATACAACGCATACGATCCAATCATCCTAATTGCCTACCAAGAGCTCAGCTACGCGGATCTGTCGCTTCATGAGGTGCATCGACAGATCATCCGCAGAAGGCAGAACCACCTGTCTGTCGTCGAGAAGGCTACATGGGTGCTGCGGGACCGGGAGCGTTTCAAGGTCATGATCAATGACATCGCCGACAAAATTCGGGAGCTTGAGGATCTTTTCCCTGCTACCCAAAGACGAAAGGAGGCCATTATCGAAGAGGCTTTTGAGTTTAGCACGAGCCTTCGAGTTCTTAGGGAAGTTATATGTGAGCAAGATGGAGCTCTTGCGGAAGCGCTTGACTCCATTCTAGACCCCCTTGTGAGTTAGCACTGCTTCCCCTTTTTAATCACTGGATCTGACGAGTCTGTAGGAGGAGGAGGAGGAGGAGGAGGAGGAGGAGAAAGAGGGGGAAAGCATTAATATCACTGTGTGTGGCAACAACGTATATACTAACGGTGTGGGTGTTACGGTTCCCCGGGGAGGCACCTTTACTCAGCACGTTGGAAATGGGCTTGTCGCCACTGTGCATGGTGGAAATATAGCCATCCAGTCCACCAAGGGAGGCACCATCACTCAGCACTTCGGACCCCTGGAGTAGCTGAGGTGTAAGAATGGGTGTTTGGTTTGATATCCGAGCGACTATGATATCCAACATAAACATTCCTTTCAATACTTTGAGTTGTAGTTAGGGAACAGTGCTCTGGAATTCTGTTGAAGCGATGAATACTACTCGACATTCGGTGGTGTATTCAAGCCATCTCTATCTAAACTTTAGTGAGGGTAGAATATTTTGGATACAGTTTGATATAAGATACGAGTTACTTTCAGAATCCTTCAGTGCCATCATAATAACAGAACCCAGGCCAAGGCTCACCAGTACGCTCACGAACATCCCCGGAACGGAAGACGTTGGGCTCTCGACCCTTCGGACCTCAAAGTCGGACCAGCGCGGGAAGATGGTCCGCAACCAGTAGAGAAACATGGGATCCGGGTAGATGAATGTGTTCTTCTTCGTCTTGGGGTCCATCCACCAGCTCTGACAGCCGCTGTTGAAGACGAGATTCTTCAGTTTTTCATGCACCCAGGCCAGGTCACGGCGCTGAGCCTCCGGCCTGACCATGATGGAGGCTGCAGGGCTACGGCCTGTGAGGACTGGGCGAAGTAGGCGGCAAGTATAATTGATCTGGCACTCGGAGTGGAAGATGACCGAATGCTGGCCCGTGGCAGCATTGGGGCCATACAAGATGAAGAAGTTGGGGAATCCTGTGACAACAGTGCCCTTGTATGCTTCAGCGCCGCCTGCGGCATCCCAAACTTGATGCAAGTCGAGACCGTTCTCCCCCTTGATTTCTAGGGGATAAAGCCACTTCTGGGTCGCGAATCCAGTGGCGTAGATGATGGCATCTGCTGGGTAGGTGGCACCGCTTGCGGTCTCGACATGGCGTGGGCCAATCTTGGTGACATTGTCCTTGGCTAAGTACATGTTTGGTGAGTGTAAAGCGGCGAGATACGTGGCCGTGTTGACCCGCCGCTTGCAGCCAGGCTCGTAGTCAGGCCTTAAGACTTCTCGGTACTCGGGTGGAGCATCGTTCTCGATGTACGAGTAGGTAGTATCACGGATCTTCTGTCTCATTCGTGCTCCATCATTGGTCATAAGGAAAGAATAAAATACCTTCTCGAGTTCCCAAGCGAGTAGGATGCGGTACATGCGAGCTACAAGTGGGACATACTTCATCGAGAACTTGAAAGCGGATGAGTAAGTTGGATTGCCCTGAATCGTCGGTCAGTTCCATACGTACGCAGAGGTTTATAAGTAGCTTACTCTCTTGGTCCACCAGTGAGCGCTCCTCACCAATTGAGTCACCTTTCCTTTGGGACCAGCTTGCTTCACCAGCTCAGGGACGAATTGCGTTGCCGATGCTCCATTGCCTAGGACGACAATGTTCTTGTTCTTGACCTCAAGGGAGTCATCCCATCGAGCACTGTGAAACATTTTCCCTTGGAAAGAATCGGCACCCTCAATCTCGGGAATAGAAGGGCGATCCAGAGTGCCAATCGCGCTGATAACGATTGGCGCTTCGCGGACGAACTGCTCTCCCGTCTGCATGTTCTCAAAAGTACAAGTCCAAAGCATGCGAGCCGAGTCCCAGCTCATATCCAAGCACATGGTATTGAACTGGCAGTGAGGAAGGATGTTGAACCTCTCAGCGACAGATATGAAGTAGCGATGGAGCTCGTCACGACCGGGGTACATGGACGTCCAGTCAGGGTTCAAGGCAAAACTGTACGAGTAAAAGTGACTTGGAATGTCGCAAGCGCACGCGGGGTACCGATTATGCCACCATGTACCACCGATGTTGTCCGACTTTTCGAAGATGGTGAAGTTGTCGTGTCCGAGGAGACGTTTGAGTTGGATGGCCATTCCAAGGCCTGAAACGCCTCCCCCGATAATGATAACCTCCTTAGAGCCAGACATCTTTGGCAAGACTATGCTTGGAGCTAAGATTGAAGAAGAAATGACAAGGAAGAAGAAGGCAGACTCAAGTGCTTTGGAAACTGACTTTGTTGATGAGATTGATTGTGTTTCTCGGAGGTGTGGCCGTGGCTCTTTTATGAAAATATGACAAGCCTCAGGTTGCTGCATCACTTCATACATGTTTGTTGGGAACTTATCCAAAAAGTGTAGAGCGACGTTAATACTGAGGCCCATATGCCCATACTGGGAATGTTTTAGAGGCAGCGCTTCAACTTGCATCGTTTTGCGACTGCAGGCGTTTGCACTTGCTCCAGATCCTTGCGCTAGTCCACTTACGGCGGATCCGCTGCAAAATTTCCAATGCAGTTAGTGCTGTGGGCTTCTGGATGTCAGGCAGGCGACTGACACAAAACATGGCACACTAAAGCTCTTTTCACGCAAGTCAGGGACTTCATCTTTATTGTTGATAATACTCAAAATAATAATGCATTGATTATAGATTATTCTATAATATTTAGTCTAATATTGTGTTTATTCTTTGGTTGATAGATTTGATATTGTGTGAAATGAATCGGTAAAGTTCGGGCCTGTCTGGGTATTTTTAGCCAGGTCTTGATCGGCAAGGCAAGGTTTGTTCGGCTAGCCAAGTTTATGTCACTGCAAACCTGGCGCATCCATTTAACGTCAGGTCTACCCCCCTGCAGACTTTGCAAACGTCTACTCCAACCGCTCCCTTGGCGGGATTTCATCTTGCGACTCACAGTGACAATACAATGCCTATCCAGCCCCGCACAGCAATCGTCGCGCCGACAGTATCGAAAGAGTCGAAACAAAAGAAATACTGCCGCACCCGGTCAGGATGGTACTTGAGCCCAAATTGACCGAACCTTGACCCTTGCTGATTTGTAAGGATAGCCTCCCTTGTCGCCGGCGGAGGAGGAAATGTAGGCAGCCAACCTCTACGGCCCTTTCTTTTTTTTAAGCAATTATAGCCTCTGACCGGGTGGCGTTAGGTGATGGACATCATCCTGTCTGTCGAGAATGTAAGAGGCGCAGCGCTGAATGTACCTGGGGATTGAAGGTCTCTTTTCACCCATCGAGAACCCTGCAGCTCTCCTCAGAGCACACTGCTGCTCTATCACGTCTGGTTCAGCAAAGGGAAAAGGCACAGACTGACGGGCCTGACTGTGGTCGGCAGGGGTTAGCACCCCTGGTTGTAAGTATTCTATCTGCCTCCTCTGGCTTGGGCAATAACTAACTGGTACCTCCACTTCAAGATCATCGATGATACCCGGGAAATTGTCCGTTCCTTTTGCAAAAATGACGATGAAGAGTCTTTAGAGGAAGAGTCTGGTAGCGATACTTCGAGCCGACCCCCGCCAACAGAGCCTGATGAGTGCGATTCGACCGTTATCCTAGACGACTTTATACCATGCGAAGTCTCTGTTGGATCAGGCAGGGAAGGAGGACCGACGGAGAATATCAGCCCGGTCAGCATAAGCAACAACGTTGGGGCTCTGCGGGCTCAGGATACGGTATTTGATCTCTTCAACACTCTACCTCCTAATCTGTCACCTCCAAACAATACTTATATCCGTCGAACAACACCGTCATTGATCCCGGACTTCTGGGATAATGAATTACCCAACGCTCCTTTCTCCCTGGGCCATGCCATCTCGAGGGGCGCTTCTCCAGATCCTGAACCTAGGTTTCCTGTCTCCCAGACGGTCAAGGCCGATCTCATGTCTGCCTACATCCAAGAGACTGCGACATGGTGCGAGACCACCGACTCGGACATGCACTTTTCGGTGAGGAGTGTTCATGATATGATGGATTCGAAGCCTTTCGTCGCAGCAGCAATGTCCCTCGCTTCCCGCCAACGAGATGCTGTGCAAGGCCGTCGCCGACATCTTACGCTCGAACTTTATCAGTACACTATTCGCCTCTTACTGGGCCAGGACCCTACCAAACCGGATGCGTCGATCTTGGCGACGTGTACCATTCTTTGTGCCTACGAGATGATGGCATCGAGCGTTTCCGAGTGGAGGCGTCATCTAAGAGGTTGCGCAGAGTTATTAAGAATGTGCAAGTGGAATGGCAACAGCGAGGGCATCGTCAAGGCTTGCTTCTGGGCCTTCGCAAGGATAGATGTATGGGCAGCCTTCATTCTTAGACAGACCACTTTGATCCCTACAGACTCGTGGGTGAATCAAGACTCTCTTGTCTTGGTTGTTGCAAAGGGAGACACCGACGATTACTGCAACCTGGCCATTTTGATCTTCGCGAGGATCATCAACGTTCTCAACGATAAAGGTTGTGTTAGACGCCAATCTCAGACCAGGCTGAGAGACAACGTCCAGGACTTGTGGGAAGAGCTACAGCTATGGCGACGCTGGCGCATCTCAAGTGTGAGGCCATTGATGAGAATAGACCAGTCGGAAAAGAGTCCTTTTCCTACAATAATGTTTGCGCTTTCCTCATCCATATGTGGTAATACTTTCTACCACGCTGGCTCAATACTGCTCCTGCAAAGCGGACTAGTCAATCGCGACTCTTCTCTAGAAATGGCAACAACAGCACTCAGCCCACATTGGCATGCTCGAGAACTAGGGGGAATCTCGATCAGCAACCCGTCCCATGCAAATTGGGTAAATCACCTTCAGCCCTTGTATATCGCCGGGACGGCATTGGGTTGCATGCCCAAGGAAACATTATCCCGCATGAACACTTGTGAGGAACCCGATGATTCTATAGACGTGGACTTTGCTGCCGAAAAGTTTGCTCTCTTACGGCATTTGGCCAAGATTGAACGTGAGACGGGCTGGAAAACGAAGGAACGAGCAAGAGATCTCAGAGTTCTTTGGGGATTGGAGAATTAATTTAGCCAAGCAAGCGACAGTCAAAAAACAGGGACGGCAAAATCACCTCGATGCAATCATTGTGGCCGTCTGTCACATTATAATGTTTCTTATTGTCCATGTCGTGCAAGAGTAAGTAAATAATATTGCCTAATAGTTGCTCAATAATTCATCATTGTTATCACAATTAACTACTTGTGTCTACCTATATAGTTCCGTGAATACCTACAGAGCGGCATAATATGCCTTGGCTACAGTCGTCGCATGGATCACCCGAGGTGTGCTTCACTTCGACTGTCCGCACGCTGAAGATGTCGTCTGTAATAGCCTTGATGAGTGCTTACTTCTCATCATCTGTGTAGCCTACGATGTCGTCGACTGGGATCTCGTCTCGAGTACGGCTGGTGTATTCACATGCCAGGGCTTCGATGTCTGACTATTGGGGTTTGGGCAACTGATAATTATCGGAAGGACCTGATCCAGGGAGTCTCACAGGTCTTGGGTAAAGACGCAGAAACCTACAACGGGTTTATCACAAAAACAGACCCGCACATTATGAATTGGACCTATGATACTCTGTACGAACTCGGTAATCATGCGGATGCGTTAGCTTTGAGGTCAACTGACTCATACATGTACGGCGCATGGACTGTTATGGGTTGGAGGATTAAAAAGGGAGCACTCTATCAGTCGAACCACATTGAATATCTCGAATCTGCCATCGGCAAGTTGGGTACATCAGTAACCCAGGCGGATATCAAGAGGACTATTACAGAAGCGTTCGCATCCAGTCGAGGAGGAGGGAACGAGACTTATGCTCCAGCAACCCGGGAAGACATCAAAAAGATCATCGCAGATGAAATCGGTTCCAAAGTTAGCGAGAATCTCAAGAGGCAGGCACGGCGGAGCACTCCGACTTTGGTAGTTGTAGCCTCCGCTATCCCTGCTCCATGATTGGAACAACCAGCCACCTTTGGAACAGTACAGGGTTCCAGTGGTTGAAAAGAAATGCCATCGACTGGAGTGCTTGAGTGCATTCTATTTTCCTAAATTTCCCCAAAGATCGTCCTGGGTCTAGGTTCTACAAAGCCATGACGTATATCAGGGCTCGACTTGCCGGTCGAAAGGCCGAATATGTAAGTCGGGGCAGAAAATGGCAGGTACAAGCGCCGCCCAAGAGTGTTCCTTTTAGTATGTATCTAGGCAAGTGCGAATGCGCTTCCATGGTTCCTACCTCATGTGGCAATTAATACATCAGGGACCGGGCATTTCCTTTCTATTCATGATGTGTCTTCTCTTGTTGGTTGACACAGACGCATGATGACTTCCCAATTTCTGTGCCTCCCACCAGAGGAGCAGCTGGAGGTCAATCAGCCTGTTCGCTTCTCTGTCCGATTCAATCCAGACCTCATTCGACTTACACAGCAGAAGCTCGAGCTTGCTCGATTCCCCCTCGAGCAGACCGACTTCGGGGCTGACGACTGGTCGCAAGGGGCAAAAGTGGACAAGGTGCAAAGACTGGTCCAGTACTGGCTTGATGAATACGATTGGGAAAGGCAAGAGGTTAGTATCGGGTCAACTCACGTTCAATTAGAGACGAATTTAACACTATGGCCGGCAGAAATTCCTCAACGACACGTTTAAGCATTACGTCGTGAAGCTTCAAGTGCCTGGCTATGGAGTCCTAGTCTTACATTTCACACACGCGAAATCGTCCAGCCCGAATGCCACACCGCTCCTCTTCTCGCATGGGTGGCCGGGCTCTTTCGTGGAGGCATCCAAGGTCGTCGGCCCGCTCAGCAATCCCAAGAACCCGAATGATCCACCCTTCCACGTCGTTGCGCCCTCCATTCCGGGCTTTGGTTTCTCTCCCGCTCCAATCAAATCGGGACTGGGCCCGGAGGTCACGGCTCGGGCATTCAAGATTCTCATGACCGACGTACTCGGATACAAGTGGTTCGTGACCCAAGGTGGTGACTTTGGGTCTTTCATCACCAGGTCAATCGCCATCCAGTTCCCTCACGTCGTTCGCGCCCAACACCTGAACATGTTTCCTGTGGCACCTCCAACGCTGTTCTCCGCCCCCCTAGCCTACCTTCGTTGGTGCCTCTCTGGGGTTCTCTACTCAGACTTTGAGAGAGAGGCTGTTAATTTCAGGCGCAACTTCGAAACAGACCAGAGCGGCTATCTGGAGCAACAAAAGACGAGGCCTCAAACGCTAGGTTTCGCGTTGGGTGACTCGCCTCTTGGTTTGCTGGCCTGGTTCGTTGAGAAGTTCCATGACTGGGGTCACGTTGAAGAGGCCTTTGATCCCGAACTTGTGATAACCCTCGTTGTCATGCACTGGATACAAGGGGTGACTCCCGGGCTGAGGTTCTATCGTGAGGCCTTTGGCGCCCGGCGCGAGGCGGAGAAGACCTTTGAGGTGTACGTCAACTGCCCGACTGGCGTCAGTATGTATGCCAAGGAACAGCTGCATGTATGTAAGCCCCTGGAATGATTTACTTTATGAAGGTATGCTGACCATTTATGCTTCCCACTAGTGTCCAAAGGATTGGGCTCAGCAAGCTGCCAATATCCAGTACTGGAGAGAGTACGGCACTGGGGGTCACTTCTCATCCCTTGAGTGTCCGAAATTGTTTGTTCAGGACATGAGGGTGTTCTTTTCTTCCAACGCCGTAAAAGTGTCAATCAAGAAGGTGTCAGCTGGTTAATGCGATTCGTCGTTAAAGCAATGTAATCGATTTTTCAAGAGTTCAAACAATACTAGATCATCGAGTTGTAAAATATAGACGGCATTTGTGGGCTTATTGTTTCCTTTAACGTTGAAATCCGTGACCTTCCCAATCTCCATTCGGAGTAGTATTGTCTCCAAACGTGACAGGAGGCAAGTTAAGTGCTGATATTCCCAAAACTACCAGGCAAACCGGAAGCATGTCATAGCTTAAAAGCCCAGTCATGGTCAAAGCCGTCTCCGCGCCGTAATTATCGGCACCGACAACTGAAACCTGAACTCGACTGTTTATAGATGCTCTATAAAAGGACTCTGGATGTGGCAGGCCTAGGAGACATAATTTAGAGAGCGCTGGAATCCTACTAGTACGTATCATAGAAAGGATTTCGCACAATCATCACTAGATATTATTTCAAACGCTTCCCCCATATATCGCAAATCTGTGACTTTCTGTGCGATATTTAGACAGCACTTTGGCTAGTTTAACTTGTAAACGATCTTATAGTTTGAGATCTTGCCCTCGCGATATTCCTGAAACCCCCGCGAAACACCATCCAGGCCGTTTTCGTCCAGCTGACATGTGTTGGGCTTGATCTTACCTGACGCAAGTAGCTCAGGCAGCTCTTGGAAGAAGCCAGCGGCGAGCTCATGATCCGCTTTATTGGCCTGTCACGAAAATCAGTTCTCCCGCTCCATATCCATTGCAATGATTCAAGTACTTACCGGCCAGAAGAAGTCCCCGTAACGATGATCCTTCAGAAAAGCCGTCCAGACGAGAACGTCGGTGACTTTGATGATCTTGGGAACGCCTTCGGTGTTGGCTTTGCCAGGACGGACAGTACACAGGACTCCGTCGCTACCAGTGATAGCGCTAGAAGCGATCTTGGAAGAGGTTTCGTTTCCGATGGTGTCAAACACATACCGGAGACCCGGAGCTGCCTCTCGGATCTTGTCGACTACCTTGGGGTCTCGGTAGTCGAATACTTCCTTCGCCCCGTACGACTTTACAAGGTCGTGGTGCTTTGGGCTGCAGGTTGAGATGACTTGCAGGCCACGAAGATTCGCAATCTGAACTGCATACAGCCCAACGCTTGCTTCACCTAGGGTTAGCAATAAATTTCTTTTTCCCAACCTCAAGCCGGAAAGAACAAGGGAGGGAAGCGCAATGGTAGAACATACAACTGCCACCCCACACGAGAACTGTCGGCCTCTTGACACCACTCGCATCGATAGCCAGACAGCCCTGGGAGAACAAGCTAAGCACGGCCGTGCATGATGCAAGCGGAACAGTAGATGCCGCTTCTCGGCTCAGACCCGGAGGAATTGGGAAGCAAATGCGCTCGTCGGCAAGGGTATACTTGCTGTAGCCACCAATACCCTTCGTCTCACCTAGTGACCAATCAGCTCATGTTTCTAACATGCAGACAACTACAGAGAGTAGAAGAGCCCACCTCCCCAGATCAAGCCGGCAATGGTTGTTCCTTTTCTGATCCTTGTCGCACTGGTACCAACTTCCTCGACCTCACCAACAAAGTCGCAGCCGAGAACAGCACCATCACCGAACGCGTTTCCATCAAAGGACTGGACTGCAGGAACCTAATCAGCTATGCGTGAAAGAGGGAGGCGTCAGTGTCGAAGCAGAATGGGCTCACCGTCTGTGGGGTTCTGGGCAACGTGAGAGACCTTGACTAGAAGCTGGTGGCTTCCAGGTTTAGGCATGGGCACCAGTTCCTCGGCAAGCTTTGGAGTGCCATTACTGTCGAGCCTGACAACCAGGGCTTGAGAAGTGGCTGGGATTAACATAGTGGTTGTTTTGCAGTTGCTGGTATGCGTAATCAGAGAATGGCGCTGCAACAAAGCGTCAGCTTTGGTTAGGCTATATATTCGCGGTGTAGCGGAATCGACAACGTCATTATTAATGTTGCTTCTGGCTTGGATTTGTCATAAATGTCCAGGCTCCATCCAAACATGAACGGGCATCCATGCGCATTTCGGTTATGATGCCATGTTTGGTCGTATGTCCCCATCGAATTGTTCTTCCAAGATCCTTATTTGTGGTCCAGGTTTGCAACCTTGCACCACTGATGGATCATGACTCAATCCTATCCAATCTAGGCTCCAGTCAGCGCCAGGGGATTCGACTAACGTGGTGCCCAGTCTCAACCAGTAAGAAGAGAAGCAAGTTGAAGCGCCGGTGGTGGAGACATTGGTTTGGAACTAAGCGTTGGTTCTAAAAGCAGCGCTTCCGCATGCCGGCGGTCTTTTAGTATCCACAATATCGGCGTACTCACATCAAAGATTACGGAGAGGTCTATAGCGATCAGCTCTGCGCTGTCAGTTCATGACCAGTCTCATATTTGCACAGTTAAACTTGTCAAAGGTGGGATGTTCAAGAACTTTTGGAACGGAGGATGCAAGGAAGACCTTTTCCTTTTTGAGCTGCAATATAGCTTCATCACAACAAGAAGTAAATAAAACGAGTCTTCCCATTAATATGCGCTGATCTAATCCAGCAAGTATAAGCGTAAGCGCTGGCATGTCAGTCATCTTGGCTAAGAGAATTAGCGTGAGTCCAACCTGGACGAGATCGGTCTTTCTCCCCTTTAGTCCCCCCCGCAATTTCCTTGCCCCAGATTTGGACTTCGAAACTTCAGGTTTGGGGAAATGTTTGGGGAATCTGTGATGCATGCGAGGGTATTTAATAGCCGAGAAGTTCTCTGATATCCGTCGACTTCATCGAAACAAAGTTGTTATCGAACTTGCATCTTTCTCTTCTCCTTTTATCCCATCTCAGCTTCGAAACCCCATTCATCCCCTAGCTAACAATGGCGCTGTTCTCTCTCGGGCGGGGCAAGAGCGTCCAGTTCGGTGTCACGATCTGTTGTCTCGTGGCATTCGTTCTCTTTGGCTATGATCAAGGGGTCTTGGGCGGTATCCTGGAGAATGAAGACTGGCAACGTCAGTTTGGCTACCCGAACGACACGGAAACTGGAATCATAGTATCTTGTTATAATTTGGGCTGTCTGACAGGTTGTGTTAGTGAGTACATACTTGTAGTCGGGATTTCTCTCCCGTGCTGACAATTCTCGCTAGTCAACTTCTTCCTCGGAGACAAGCTGGGTCGCCGCAGAACTATTTGGCTTGCCATGGGCTTTGTTCTGGTTGGTGCGACCCTCCAAGCCAGCGCGTATTCGGTCGCTCATCTAGTCATTGGACGCGTCGTCACCGGCTTCGGTACAGGAATTAAGACTTCAACAGTTCCAATGTAAGTTACCGTGACTCTTCAAGTTTACGAGATAGCAATGGCTGATTCGCACAAAGGTACCAATCGGAGCTTTGCAACCCCGAAGCCCGTGGTCGCCTGGTTTCCAGCGAAGTCCTTTTCGTCGGAGTCGGTATCACGATTGCGTATTGGTTTGATTTTGGTATGTCGTTTGTTGGTGGTCAAGTGGCCTGGCGGCTGCCGATTGCTTTTCAGCTGGTTTTCGCCATTGGCGTTATTATCCTGGTCTTTGCACTTCCAGAGTCCCCCCGCTGGTTGTTGATGAAGGGTCGCGACGAAGACGCCATCAATGTCTTGTGTCAATTCCACGACAAGGAACCCTCAGACCCTTCCATCCTTGCAGAGACCTCTTCCATCCAGAAGGCCATCGAACTCGAACTTTCGTCCAATAATGGTGACTCCTTCTTCAGCATCTTCAAAAAGGACAACATCGGTACCAGGTACCGTATACTGCTTGCCTGGGGTGTCCAATTCATGAACCAGGCGGGCGGCATTAACCTCGTCGTCTATTATATCCCCTCTGTTCTAGTTCAGAATGTCGGGATGGACAAGCGGACGGCCCAGATCCTCGGCGGTTGTATCAACATGATGTTCATGTTTGGTTCCATCTTGCCTTCGTTCGCTCTCGATCGTATGGGCCGTCGGAAGACCATGCTGTGGGGCTGCACGGGCCTGGGTGTATGTATGCTCATGGTTGCCGCACTCCTGTCACAAGTCGGACACCTCAATGGCCATGCTTGTGCCTCCGCCGCAGTAGCCTTTTTCTTCCTATACATGTTGATCTTCGGGATGAGCGTCAACTGTGTTCCTTGGGTCTATGTCCCGGAGATTCTCCCTCTTGAGGCCCGTACTCGGGGGACAGCTATTGGTGTCAGCTCCAACTGGCTCTGGAATTTCACCGTGGTCATGATCACGCCAGTCATTATCAACCGCTTGCAGTGGAAGGCATACCTGATTTTCATGGTCACCAACTTTCTTTTCGTGCCCACTTTCTACTTTTTCTACCCGGAGACAAGTAACTTCAAGTTGGAGGACATCGATCTTGTGTTTTCACAAGGAGGAAATCCCGTTTCTATCGCACGCGAGATGTCAATGAACATGAAGCTTCCTGTTCCAAGCGATAGCGGGGTTTCGGATGGTACCGGTAAGGAACAGAGCTTCATGGTGGAACAGGCTTAGCCGTCATGGCTTATCATAGCTTGTATGTCTTTCCTTCACGGCTTGGGTTCTCCACGAAATGCTTAGTTTTGCGCCAGCCAGTCGAAAAAGGGGCTGCAGAGCAGGGAAGCACGCTGTCCAGAGCCCAAGGTGTCCCTCAATACCACCCCATAGTGATATGACACCAACTTTGTAAGTGCTACAATAGACCAAACAAAGATTAGTTCTTATTCATTGTATCATTTCATTTCAATTAGGCTACATTATCGTTTCTATATTGAGGTCGCTGGAGAGCTGGAGGGTGTACACGTACATATCAGCGTCGAAATTGAGGACGTGATAGATGAGTCTCAGAACCCCTGCAATAATAGATAGAGCGCCAACGCAAAAAATAAGAACTACCCGAACCATCTTGGGCGAGAATTTCATCTTTCGGAAAACGATCCAGATGGGCAGCGCCAGGATGCTCATGTCAATGAAGATCCCCATCGCGGCGTGGAAGATCATGACCGATAGCTCCGCATTGAACGACTTGCACTCCCGGTTTGGGTTGTTGATATTCCACAGGTCTCTAATTAACATAGGAATTGAGAGCGGTTAGCAATCGCAGACAAACATATTACAAGGGGGGCTTTCCTACATACCTCACATCTTTGCACTTGGACAGAATAAAGGCAACGGCAATTAAGGTGATCGAAAACACCAGGAACCCGACAGCATAGATACCCCTGACAAACCATTCTAAGCATAAGGTCAGCGAGTTGTATTCGGAAGGGTACGTAAAAACCTACTGTCTCTGCTTAGTCGAAAGAAAAATGCAAGGTTGGAGAATCGCACTATGCAGAGCGAGAAAATGAAGAGTAGCTCATTCGTAGCCACTAGCTGCAGAAGATTGTCAGTTTTACGACATGACGGTTCCAAAACTTGCCGACATACACTGAGATAATGCGGAAGCTTGACGATCGGGACTTCGTGTATATGTGTTCCTTCCCCCTCCTGAATACCTGCCTTCATGTTAGCTGACTGGGCAACAGATGGCAGATAAACAAAACCTACTTGTCATTTCTAATGCCGTACAAGCCCCTATCATAGCCTACGCAGGCCTAAATTACCACCTTTTCTTGCCTAGACTGTTGGAGGAATAAACTTACCAGCGACGCAACCGATAGCAAGTCATCAACTCCTAGCGCTTTGATCAAGAATATTCTTGTGATCAACCGTAAAAGAACAAGCAAGCTGGAAATCGTCATCACCGTAATTAACATAGGAGTGAGGATGTAAGCACGAGAATCTGGGGGCGGAACCCAGACATCACTGCTTAGAATGGAATGGGATGAATTCATCATGTGCGATGGGAAATAGGGTGCTGTGGACTCCTCCTTGCGGAACACATATTGAAAAGTTATGACACGTTCTGTCGAAGTAGGGTCGTCGGGATTTGTTATACGTGGGCAGAGCCAACAAGAGCGCTTACTTATCAAAGAAGGCTGCACCTAAATCCGACAAATCTCGATCCGGGCGCGAGGAATAGGGTTATAGTTTGTGCCAATGGTAAAACGGAATTCGTGGCATGTAGACTCTGAGCAGCGTATCGCCCGTTGATAAGTCGAATCCGATCTACCGGCGATCTACCGGGATTATTCGCGAGAATTTATCATAGAGCTCGCTGAATAACAATGCGTAGTCGAGGGGTGGGTTAGATCGCTTCTCAAGGGTCAATACACAGTGAGGACGATCGAATTCTGTCCAAACAACTACCGGTAACTCCAAGTGGTTGGCGAGTGAGCCGATAAAGGCTTCTGCGGTCGCTTTTCTTTAAAAACAACTTGGGGCGAACGAAAAGAAAAGGAACAAGACGGGTGACGTGCTTGTTTGGAAAATGACGAAGGGATTACCGTAGGCAACGCCTCGTCTGAGAAACAGCTAGAACTTAATCGTGGTGATAGAACGGTCGCCCGCTTTGCTGGAATGCCAAGCCGCAGGCAATTCTCCACAGTCTGCCTAATGCGTAGCTTCAGCATGCTAAATGAGAGGTCGAGACTCGATGCTCTGACAGCGAGTTGTGGTTGCATTGTATTAAAATGCAGGCCATCCGGCAAAAAGGCTTGATAATGGCGCCCATTGTCTAGGGCTATAGGCTTAACGGTGATGCTGCTACTGAGGCTTTGTTGGGTTTTCCAAGGGGTTTTGATTGCGTGAAAACTTCCAGCCCTTCCGAGCCGACATCAACTGATTGCTGGCCTAGACCTAGCAACTCTACTCCAGTTCTCATTCAAATCCCTCAGAGTTGGCCTCGTGGATTTTCGGCTCTCGATGTATAAACTCCGAGGTCAACTTATAATACGATCGTCTTCGAATAGATTTGAAGACCTATCAAAATCCACGAGTGATAAGGGTTCTGTATGATCCTAGTCACTAAAAGCTGACGGTGCGCGACCCTTGTCACTATAAGCTGACGGTTGACCTGATCGATCCTCCGCCAACCTCAACCGAATAACCCTGCAACATTATTAAGCGGTAGCAGTAGAAACCGTTGAGACTTGCAACTCTTCGCCCGATTGGGATACTTTCTGCGCCTTTCACGTGATCAAGACAGTCAGGCCTTGAGACTATTAACCAACATGTCGGTGTATTAACCCAAATCTGGTTCACAATGTCGTTGGGTTTTGAAGGGTGTGGTTCAGGGGTCGCGAAAGAAAGCGTATATTTATCTGCTCATGTCGCCCCGACAGAATGATCATTTCAATCCCATCCTTCTTCTCTTGCATTCAAAACAGTGAGACCAGCAGAAGTCGCCTCCCTAAGCAGATCAACTCTCTTACGCTCTATATTCAAGGCAGCAGAGACAATGGCATCTCCTAGCAGCACTCCCAGAATCGTCGAGCTGGCCGCTCAGATCAGCTCTTCGGTCACCGAGCTGCAAGAGCGCCTGTCAGCTCAAGGAATACCCTCCCCATCCTTCGCCGAAGACAGCCCGCCAGACTTTCCCGCCGATCTGGAGAGTCTTCGTGATTCCGTCATAGATGCAACAGCCGAGCTGAATGAGCTGCTTTTAGACCCTCTGCAGCTGCTGTATAGATTCGCTGCGGTATGTATCCTCCTTGTGCTCCAGCGAAGATGCTCCCATCAGCTAATACCTCTAGATCCCCAACATGGTCGGTATTGACGCAATCAGCCGATACAACATCGCGGGCATGGTTCCTCATGGTGGCCAGATCTCTTTTGCGGAGATTTCCGAGCGCACCGGCATGGATAAGGGACTTGTTCGACGCTTGATGAGACACGCTATGTCGATGCGGATCTTTAGAGAGCCCGAACCAGAGATGGTGGCTCACACCAAGATTTCCAAGTACCTGTCTATTCCGTACATCAATGCCTGGGCCAGCTTCGAAGGGAGGGATACGTGGCCAGCAGCAACAAGGGTAAGTGCGCAACATTCTTCTCTGTTTTCCGATGTAGCAGTATTCTGACCCGTATGATGTGCCATAGGTTATGGACGCGGTCGAGAAATGGCCTGGTTCCGAAGAACCCAACCAAACTGTAAGTGTCTAAGTGTTCCAGAGATTGATGACCAACAGCCTTTGTTGACCTTCGCAAGGCCTTCTCTCTAGCGAACAACACCGATAAGCCCGTCTTCGAGTTCATTGGCGCATATCCCGAGCGGATGATGCGTTTTGGGGCTGGGATGAAAGCCGTAGACCACGTTCCCGGTCACGCGCCCGAACTCATCTCCAAGGACTATGACTGGGCCTCACTTGGTAATGCCTCAATCGTTAATGTTGGTGGGGGCCGAGGTCAAATCGCCATCGAACTGGCCCAAAACTTCGAAAATGTCAAGCTCACCGTCCAAGACGCGGCAATGATGGTTGAAGGCGCGGAGTCAGATGTTCCGAATCAGCTGAAGGGTCGCGTGGAGTTCATGAAGCATGAGCTCTTCGATACACAGACCTTGGAGGCTGATGCCTATTTCTTCCGCATGGTCTTTCGCAACTGGTGTGATAAGTACGCCATCCAGATTCTGAAAGCACAGATCCCGGCCCTCCGACCGGGAGCCAAGATCCTGATTCAAGATGCTTGCATGCCTGAGCATGATAGTGTCCCCCTGTGGAGAGAGCGAGTTCAAAGGTATGCTGCTAGATTTGACTCAGAGTATGCCTAAGATTTCTGCTAACAAGTTTCATTAGGTCAGTGGATCTGATGCTGAAGTGCTACACCAACGGTCGTACAAGATACCTGGATGAATGGAAAGCTCTACTCGCAGCGGCGGACGAGCGGTTCAAGTTGCATCAAGTCTTTCTGCCTGAGAATTCTTTGCTGTCGATCTTAGAGATTCACTGGGTACAAGTTTGAATACCCGACGGAAATCTTGATCAAGAGAGATGAAGAGAAGGTGCTAGGCGGAAGAGGCATATCACTGTAACCGGTAGAAAGTGCCCTTAGTAGAGTCTAGGTTCTGAGAGCTCTCAAAGGCGAGCCAATTTAAATCCATCTGACCGAAGTGGTCTCGCGGGCGCGTGCGCCACGATGCTCCTTGCTTGTTGACTCCATGCCAGGGTGATGTAAAGTGGCTTCTCCACCAATTAAATCAGGTGGCCTCTCCTAGTCTAGATCGATGCAAAGGCCGGGAACCCCAACTCTCGAGCTTCGAAAACCGCCAATAATATAGTCGTGCCATGCCCAACCGTCCTAGCTTCAGTTGGTCAATAGGTAGAATCCGTCGCATACTTGAGGCCTGTGGTTGAACACTGGCGAAATAGGGTTTCGGGAATCCTGTATGGCTGAGATCTTTGGTTGTTAGCTTGACGCTTATCAATGATTGGACAAAGAGTGGGCTCTAAGGGGAGTATGGTATAAGGAGGTTCAATAGAGTGACTGACCGTGAAATTCACTCTGGGTACGCTGCACGGAGTATGTTATCTTCCCAACAGATCCAGCACCCAGAATCTGCTGATAACTCAATATGAAGGAATGAAGGTGTCACCAATGTGCTCTAAGAGTACGTCTGAGGACAATATAAGGGAAATGAATATCAAATCTCAAATCTGTATAGGTCGTAGTTTATTATTCTATGTTGTTTCGTCATGCTCTAACTCAAATATCGACCAATTGATGTGTCTCGTGAAGTTATGTTCCTTCGTGTCATGTGTGGAGCCGTACGACGGGTAGGATAATTTCTGAATATTTGGACATTTTGGTATGAACGTGAGAACAGCGAGTTGGAACCAAAGTGGCCAAAGAGACGCGTGAAGGGAATCGATGGGGTATCTTGGAGTGTGGCAGGTCGAAACAAAAGTTCGAAGGGGCACTCGTGGGTCTCGACGGCGATCTGATTGGGAACGAACCGGGGCGCTTGGATGACTCTTGGTATGGTTGCAATCGATTCCTCTTGGACGACTGAGACATCAGGTGGGGGTTCTCGTGTTCGCCTTTCTGACTTGTTAGCCAAGGTCCTGATCAGGGGTTGAGGTCAAATTGCTGCTTGTGGAACAACAAATCAAAGATATAAATCGCTAGACTTCTAGGAAAGCATGTCCAGCTGAAGCCACTTCCTTACCTAAAAATAGCATCCTTGCCGGAACATCCTCTGATTCGAGAAATAGAAGTAGATACGAGAGAGAGTTTTCGAGTATAATAAGTGAGGGAGCTGTACAGCTGCTGGAAAAAAAAAAGGGGGGGGGG